TTCCTCTCTGCTCAGTTCTTTGGTCTCACTTCCCTATATGGACTTTTGTCCTCATACGAGTCCACATCTCTTTTATCTTAAGCTATAATGAAAACTTCTTGAAGATTCCAGCATATGTTCAATGTTATACCCTCTGCATCACAGAACACAAGAGTACTGTGTCCACAGTGGGCACTTGGCATCTTATGGATGCATGGAGTGTGCTGCCTCTTACCAAACTCTTGTCCTGTTAAAGTTTGCTTATCACTTCCTCCAGAAGACAATCTCCTGGTGATTCTGAATTGATAGGGTTAGACTGGGGCTTGGAGTCTGTATTTTTAACAAGACCCAAAGGTGATCCTGATGGTCTGTAAACTCTGGGGAACACAGGACAATCTCTAGCACTCCTTCCGGCTCCTACATTCTGTGGCTGCTAATGGTTCACCACCTTGACTATACATGAGAAACACCTGAGAAGCTGTTTTAAAACCCTGTTCCTCAGGGTCTACCGTGGACCAATTGAATTAGAAACTGGGGATGGGGCCCAAGCATTGGTCTTGACAAGACTTCCCCAAATGATTCTGATATGTAGCCAAAGTTGAGAGCTGTTGGTCTAATAAATTGTCTCTTTCAGAAAATATTTTCCTTTTACCAGAGTGACTCTACCATAGCAGCCATTTGGGGAATACTTTAGGAGACCCAGTGGTCCTTTATCAGGGTCCCTCAAACTATATTGCATAAATAGATACCAATCAAAGTTATGTATTCAGGTGTGTTGCTTAATCGTTGCATGACTGCAAATGGAGAACCAATTGACTGACATTGTTGTTGTTTTTAAGTTCTGTTGAGTTGATTCTGACTCATAATGACTTTATATAGGGCTTCAAAGGCTACAACTCTTTGCAGCAACAGAAAGCCTCATCGTTCTACCACTGAGCAGTTAGTGAGCTCGAACCACCGACCTTTTGGCTCACAATCCAGTATGAAAGATGCCAATTAAAGATAGATTGGGGAATGAGGTTGGACAGTCAAGTGTGGCTTGTGGGGGGTTAAGAAAACAGATAGCCTTTCATCTTGACGTAGTCCTGAAGTACAGTAAGCAAAGTCTCCTACTCCCCCTTTCAGTGGGCCAGTGAAATCAGGATGACCGTTGTCTCAGGCTCCTATGGTGGTTGCTATGGGAATTGAGTATAAGTAGCCTCAGCTGCTCCACAGGGAAAAAGACCTGGCGATCTGCTTCCGTAAAGAATACAGTCTAGAAAACCCTATGGGGCAGTTCTATTAGGTCTCATAAGGCACCATGAGTCAGAATTGAAAGCGTACAACAACTACAGACGCGGAGGTCAAAGACAGTCAAGATAGAGGAAAGGCAAATTAGAAGGCCACCCAAACTTCAGGACCCTGTGCCCCATCATCTAGAAATCCTTTCATAGTTTATCACAATGGAGCACTAAAATTGTTGGCCAGACACTTGACTTTTGGCTAAGATATGAGTGATCACAACTCTGAAATCTGTAATAACAGAACCAACAAATTAAAAAATGGTCAAAGAATCACCAGCTGCTGAATTCAGCCCTGAGGGAGAGACAGACTCTCTCTTCTACTGCTTATTTCACCTAGCTGCTGGCTGCATATTTGCTTCAAGGGGCCTGCAGTGGCCCCGGAGGTACTTAGCAATTCTAGTCCCGTATTTCAAGCCAAAATTCATTTTAGCCAGAAGGGGTGCCTGTTGCAAAATGAGATTTCCAGCTCCTTAGAGGAAAAATAGGGTCAGTGAAAAACTCAGATGTCCAACCTAAGGTACTCAATTAATCTATGCTTAATGGGTAAAGGCATTTTAAACAGATTCCTGGGCCCTACTGCCTCAGGCCTTTAAGAGCCCACTGCAAGGCAGGCCTCATCTGTGTCTGAGCATAGGGCTAGACATGACTCTGACACCTAGCAGAGACCAGCTGGCAATGAGTGAGTCACCATCAGTGATCAAAGCTGACAACCAAGAATAGGATGGAGTCTTGGAGACCAGCAGGACAAGGGTCAGTGAGGAATGAGGCACAAATAAGCTGAAAATAGTACTAAAACAGATACCTGACAATGATTAAAATCCTTGAAAATATTGGCAATTTCATTTCCTCCTTTGTGCTTTTGGCTAATCTCATAGATGCATCTCCACAACAGCGTTAGTGGCAGACAAGGGCTGTCAGAGACCTTCATGGCTTTTACCCAAAGGAATGCCAGACTGTAGGTCTCAGAGGTCCCAATGTAGTTTGAAGTAGCCCATACCTGGTTTTCCTCCTAGTCTTTCTCATCTCAATAAATGACCACCCCATTCTTCCAGTTGACTTCTCTTTATCTCAACCCCCCACATCCAATCCATCAACATATTCTTGTTTCTGCCTTCACTGTATATCCAGAACACCATCAGTTTTCATCATTTCCATTGTTACCCACCTAGCCTAAGCCTCTATCGTATTTTTACTTATTATTGCAGAGGATGCCTAACTGCTCTCTCTACTTCTGCCTTTACCCTCCTATTTTCCCACAAGCCTACCTGCTTGCTCTTCGTACTTCTGCCCTTACGCTCCTTATTTTCCACAAGAAGTCAAAGGCATCTTTTTAAAATGCGAGTCAGATTGTGTCTGCTCAAAACCTTCCAGTGGAGTAAAACTCCCAAGTTCTTAGCATAGCTTTGAAGTTCCTGTATGATCCAGCTCCCAGCTGCCTCTAATCACATCTCCTGCTTCCCTCTCCATCATTCTTCTGGAGCCACAGTAGGCTTCCTTGCTGCTCTTCCTACACCTCAACCCTACTCCCACCTCAAGGCCTTTACTCGTCATCTATTTGGAAGGCTCTTTTCCCAGATATATATCCTCATGGTTGTTTCTCCCTCATTTCCTTCAAGTCTCTACTTAAATGTCACCTACTTGGTGAACTCTTTCCTGACCCAAACCCAAACCCAAACCCAACCCACTGCTGTTGATTCGGTGCCGATTCATAGTGACCCTCTAGGACAGAATAGAAAAGACCCCACAGTGTTTCCCTGGACTGTAAACCTTTAAGGAAGCAGCCTACCTTGTCTTTCTCCTGGGAAGTGGCTGGTGGGTTTGAACTACTGACTTTTTGGTTAGTGGCCCAGTGCTTAACCCACAGTGCCACCAAGTCTCATTTTCTCCATAGTTAGAGTGTGGCTCTAGTGGGGAGACCCTTCCTTGTCTATTTCAGCTTCTAGTAGCCACCAATTCTTGGAATTCCTGGGCTTGTAAATTCATCTGCCTCCATTGTCAACAGATAGCATCTGTCTCTGTGCCTCTGCTGCTCTTGAGAGATTGTTGTTGTTAAGTGCCATCGAGTCAGTTGTGACTCATAGCAGCCCTATGCACAACAGAATGAAACACTGTATCATCCACACAATCTTTGTTATAAGTCCATTGCTGCTGCCACTGTGCCAATCCATCTCACTGGGGGGTCTTCCTGTTTTTCACTAACCTTCCACTTTACCTAGCATGTTCTTCCCCAGGGATTTGTCCCTCCTGATATGTCTAAAGTACAAGAGAAGGAGTCTGGTCATCTTGGCTTCTAAGACGCATTCTCGATCAGACTTCTTCCAACATAGATTAGGTTTAGAACCTGCCCTACACTAAAATGGCTTCAACTGAAAGCTTATATTACATTAAATTGTATTATGGAAGGGGATTATATTATATTACAGCCATAGGTGGTGGTGGCTGTGTTGTTAAGTGTAGTTGAGTCGGTTCCCACTCACAGCAACACTGTAGGGTTTCCGAGCCTGTAAATCTCTATGGGAGCAAAAAACCTCTTCTCTCCTGTGGAGTAACTTGTTGTTGTTGTTATGTGCCGTGGAGTCAGTTCCAACTCATAGTAACCCTGTACAGGGTTTCCGAGGCTGTAAATCTTTACGGGAGCAGAAAGCCTCATCTTTCTCCCACGGAACAGCTGGTAGTTTCGAACTGCTGACC